CCTTCGCAAGAGGCGGAGTAGCTGCTTCACAGCGGATTCGGATGGGGGAGGGGAAGGGTGGTAGAGGGGGATTTCGGGGGAAATAACAGGGGAAGGCGTCTTCGTCATCGACATTAAACGTAATCAATAGAGCGAACTTCTTTAATTGAGCATCGTCAACGTGCGAGAGACAAAAGCGAAGCGACAATCAAAACTAATTGAATGCACAGCGCAAAAAAGCAGCATAAAATAAAAGAACGAGGATTGATGGCCTTTCTTGTGGAAATATAAGCACACTGTAAAGAAAACTTGTAGATTATAAATCAACACTTATAGATACATAAATACAAATACAGAATTGATAATTAAAAATTAAAGATTAGTTAAAGATAAACCATATTGTTTTGAAAGTTTTAAACAAATTTCCCATTAAAGTTCTTATCTATTAGAAACTCCACAATAGTTCACTGTGCAGCATCATGAAGTATCTATATCCTAAACCGATTTAACGTTGCACTCATGGATATGTAATTACCAACATAACAACCAGCCTAATTACGCATTGCATAGTTATGGGCGTTATCGATTTTGGAAGCCGCTTAGCAAATGGCAAGTTGATGGATATACTGCAACAGCCAACCAGACAATTTCGTCTATGTAGAACGAGATTCGTGCGGTTGTCATGGGAAACTCCAAATGGGGAGTTGCGATGACGGATTGGGAGTGCCCGACATTACGGATAATGCTTCCGTTGATCGATGGCATTGCCATTTGCCAAGGTGTGTCTAATACCATTTAAAGAACTCCCATGCATAAGTTCTCTTTATAAAAAATTAATTTAACTATGCGGTTAATTGTGTGTTAATTTACATGTTTTTTAATTGCTAAGTTCTTTTCAATTCAGTTTCGAGCGAAGTTTAAGTGAAATGAAATCATTCTCATAACATAATACGTTCTGTTTAGTTTACTTTTAATAAAGTATTGCATTACAAACAAACGATTCCCTGAAATAAAACCCAATATAAAAGTATATAAAAACAGATTAACAAACCATCAAAAAAATCAAAAACAAATTGAACAATCCACTTGCTTAAGGGGGGGAAATACAATTAGAAGGCCTGAAATGAGGGCTATCTTTGGGAGTGGATTGCAAGTAGAGTATTAAATGAATCTTAGTGATTCTTTTTGCATGTTATTGGGTAATTATTGAGCAATAAAAATCAGTCAAGTTTTTTGAAAAATATTGTAATTAAGCCCATTTATGATCAATAATGTGGAGTCGTGTTTTTAGGGAAGGACTTTGCGCCGTGCAGTCTCCAGGTCCAGGATCACGACTTAAACAAAAAAAAGCAACTGGGCTTTAAACTTAAAGGTACAGCGCACACCATGAATTAAACCATATTTAAAAAAAAATTATTTTTCCATTAAAAAATTTTAGGTTAAAAAAAAAATTTCAAAAATAACGATTTTCTTTTGACTTTGATTGTAAAAAAAACATGTTATAACAAACAAATTTGAAAAACCGTTATATTCATGGTGTGGAGAATTTAATTTCAAACATAATGCAAAAAACCGCATTCGATTAAAATAAAATCTCTGACCTGTACATTGCACGGCGACTTTGAAAACACGACTTTTCAGGAGAAGCGTTTAAAGTTAACTTTTGTGCATGTCCGCCATATGACACACCTTCACTAAATTGCGTATAACTCTGAAAATAAGTACCGGACGGCTTTATGCTTTTAAAGGCTTACTCCCAGATATATTTGGAGTACATTAAGCCAAAAAAAATTTTTTCGAAAAAAAAAATTTTCTAATTGTATTTCCCCCTTAAAGTGAAGTAGAACGTGTCACCGATAGTACAAATCAGGAGATAACACCATAGTTCTCTGAGAACTCATAGGCGATTTCGAAGAACATCATCCTCATCCGCGCAGTTCGATCCGCACTATCAGAAGGTGGCCTTTCCATTGAAAGGCTATCGCCTCGGTTCCAGAGTTTCTTAGTCAGACTGCCTGGTGGTGATGGCTGTGGTGGTGGAGAAGCAGCAGCTCCACTTCGTTTCCATTCGATTCAAAGGCGGGTGAATGCGTCAGCACTGAATAAATAAACGTATCGCCCAGACCTTAGTCAACGGCCAACTACAAGTTTTCCACATTAAATGTTAGTGGGCACAAATATAGGAGAACTGACCGCGTGGAGCTTTCGGGTGTTTAACTTGGCCATTATAGGATTGTCGATTGCTCATTTGCTGACACGCAACGCTGACTTTTGGCCGATGGCAGTCAACAGAAACTGAAACCGGGTGTGAGTAACCAGCAACCAGCAATCCAGCCCAACAACAACCAAACGTCGACGAGGTGGAATAATCATCAAATCCAGCGAAAACAGCCGCCCGGTGCGGATTTCAGTTATTTTAGTTTATTTGCACAACCTCAACTATCCAATAACAACAATCAGCAAAAGCAAAAGCCCCCCCGGGTCTGCAAGCCATGAATCAAGTGAAAATTTACATATACTCAGAGCCCCCATCTGCCGGGTATTAAATCCGTTTGCAGTTTGGCAATATAAACTCAATAAAAGTGTGATTTCAGTTTGCAATAAGTTTAAAGAGCGATTAAACAAATTCCATTTCAAAAGAGCAATTGAATATATTTACTAGAATTTAATGTTTCAAGCTATAAATTTGTGTATTTTACGGCTGGGGCTTTTAAATTCTAGTTATCCAAAGATTTTTAGAGCTTTTGAAAAGATTTAAATGAAGGATAATAGGATTATCGTATACTGATGTCCTATTTTTTGTGTATTTATCTCTTTATCTGGGTTTGCTATTATATATTTTTTTTATTTCCCAGGGTACTTGAGATTCGTTAGTAGACAGCTTCCCTGTTTTGTGTACACAAGTTGAGAGTCGATGCCGCTGGCGGCTGCTTGTTGCTCCGGCTGATTGGGAATCGCCAGTTTGGCGACTGGGCTCCCACAGATACATCTACAGCAAACAGCTACAGCTACAGCTGCAGATACTCACTCATAGCAGATACAGATACAGATACTTTTGTACACATTCTTCGGCACGACGCTCGACGACGTACTTGTGGCGTCTATGAAATCGCTTTATATTAAGCACCGAGAGCAGTAAATAAAACGCAAAACTCGGCAATCGCAGACGAGCGACGCCAACGAAAAAATGCCGTGGAATGTTGAGATCTACGACTCGACAAGACTCGCGACTCGAGAATCGAGACTCTCTGATTGTCGCCCATACGCATGTGTATATATCTTAAGATCTGCATCTGAATCTGCATCTGAATCGGATTTTTCTTGGCTGTAACTGAACTGAAAGCATGGGCTTTTGGGCTCGTTTGCTATTCCTTTTGTTGGCCACATCATGGCCGCATATTTGCATACGCCAGCAGCTGTTTATAGTCTCACATGTCAGCTAATTGAATCGGTTTAGCTCTTCGTGCGGCGCTGCTTTTCTGCTTTTCTAGTTTTCCGCTGGCCCAGACATCAGCGAGACAGCTTAATCACTTGCGTCAATGGATTTGCTCGCTGCTTACCTGGCCGAAACGAAACGAAACGCAAAACCGTAGGAGCTGAAAACCAAAACTAGCTGAAACAGACGAAATGGCATCATTACGGCCGGCCAGCAGAATTTCCCGGGTAAAACCCATAAAATCATCAATAGACCCTGCCAGCGAAGGGATATAATCGGGGCTTACTTCGCCACTTGACTTGACGCACTTAAGCCGGCGCTTGGCCAACAGCAAAAGGGTCTAAATCCCCGAACAGGTCAGACTTTTTGGCTGGAAGCAATTAAAGATGGCACGGCAGCGTATTTAAATTACAGCCATCTAGAGATTTCTATACCGAGCAGGTAGTATTGAATGTCCTAGGTCACTTCTGGTGAAAATCCTGGCCGGATTTTGTATTTCACACAAATGTATCTTTGATCTTGTTAACGGGATACCATAGTTAAGATGCCGTTAAAAGATACTTTAAGATTTAGGGGGTTTCTTTTAAAAAACTTACCTAAAGGCTTAAATTATTCATGCAGATGAATATTTAAATATTCTGTTACCACCTTTTTAACATTTTATTATAAAACATAAATCCTAAATATTTTTGTATCTTTTTTGGCAATGGGTAAACCAATTTTTTAGCCATTTCAGTTACCTTATCGCAATGATATCATTTTTATTGGTATCGACGTCACGTTTGAGCTTATCGGAACGAAAGTGAAATGCGGCTGACTTCGGCAAAGTATCTATAATCGCATAATCTTCTGCGATACGCTTGCACATACACCAACCAGCACACAAAGAGATACGCAGATACTTTAGTGTTGCTTATTTGCGTAGATGTATCTGCTGGATTCACTTATATACAGCAAAAGTATCTCTGTGTGAACGCTGCCGTGAATCACGCCATTTGGCCTTATCAACCGAAGCTCCAATCGGTTCTATTTCATTACTCGATGCCTATGTACTGAGCACGCACTTTATCAATATCGCTAAGCACTCGCTTGTGTATCTGTGAGATTGCTTTGTGCTTGGCACCCATAACAACTGTATTAAACGCCATTCGACATGAGTGGAAGCCCATCTGCTTTCCCCACACCCATTTGCCCATAGATAAACACTACTGTTTCACGTTTTGTTTCCCGGGAACCCTTATTGATAGAACCCTGAAGGTCATTGCTATATTTCCTGGAGTATTTCACTAACGTAGATGTTATAGATTCGACTGAAAGCTATAGTACGCCTTTGGTTTATAGAGTGCGATAGCTGGTAACAGATTGCCAGTTTTTCTTTGAGTCATGGTAAATAAATTGATTGACTTATCACGCCGAATGCTATATAGGCAATGAGCAATATACTTTTCAGTTGGGGAATTAAAAACCCTAAGTGGGGAATCAATATTATGACTTGGTTAATCCCTCATTCTGATTATTATATTTATAAGGCTTCTTAGTTTTTATATGTATTTGTTTATTTTTTAATTTTAAAATGCCAACTCACCTTTAAGTTTTTCACGCCCAGTTTCCAAAGCACTCTTGCGTGAATTCACAGTAGATTCTGAAAAATAGAAAACACAAAACATTAGAATATATATTCGTAAAAGTGGACTATATACAGTACATTATACAGTTTTCAAGTGCATTTTCAATGTTATGTCTTAGACAAAGCTCGCCCACAAAAACGCCGCTGGCATTTCACTCGGTGACGTCAAAAGCGAAGGCCAGGAAAATACCAAAGAGTACGGGAAAATCGAACCGAGGAAAGCGCACATCTGACACACAAATACACATTTATACACTTCATAGTCAATAAAGTATTCAAATGGCGTGGGGGAAAAACCGAGAAGAAGCAGAGCCAACTGTTGCCAATTTCCATGGGGGCGTGGAAAGCGTGGAAAAGGCGAAATGGCGGCAGACGGAGGCCATCAAACCAGCCTGAAAATTCATTTCCACCCAAAAAATGTTTACAAACCAATACTCACTCATTCGCTCTTTGCTAAATTTAAAAGTAGACACACGCTTTGTGGGAGAATCTCTTTCTTCTACGCGTACCAATATAATTTGAAATATTTTGCTACATTTTCGCGCAATGTGAACGTGAAAAACGCATTGACGAGTGGCCAAAAATACACAGGGGATGTTCTTGCCAAATTGTGGCGAAATTCCCAATGAAGGCACTAAAAATACACATAATGCTGTACAACCAAACAAGCGATTTCGAAGAAAAAATCATTCGGATTCGCTTTTCTCAGCAGCTGTTTAGACATCGAATGACGCACATTTTTTTTAAATTGATAAGCAAGCTTCATAATATAATAATGGGAAACTAGGTGATGAATAAACTAATTTATTTAATTACTACATGCCAAATAATAGTGCTACAAATAATGTTCATTGTTTTGCCTTGCTGAATTTATTTGTTTGCTAATTATAATTTTATTTTCCTAAGGCTTTGAATTCCTAATTTTGTACTCCATTTCCGATCTGGTATATATTTCAAACCGAATGTGGGCTCTACACGATTAATTCTTATCATCTGTCCGGTTGTGGTCAATTTTTATAGAATATATGTTGTAAAGTACTCGAGCTAAGTCGCTTCAAGTGGCTGCACTTTGAACGCATCGGCGATAAGCCAACGATTCAGAGATCCCCTCCTTCAAATCGAGCCCCCGTAAATATGCAAGGCTTATCGTTTAGAACTTCGGGATTATGTGGCAAAAGAAAAAACGAGATACAAGAACGCGGCTGAGAGGAAAAAACCTGCATGCAAATTAAAGCAGGCACCAGGCAAACAGCAAATGCAAGCCAGTCAGCTGGCAGCTGAAACTGGCGGCCAAGAAACCTGGCCAAGTTCACAAAACGGAAAAGAAGTTGGCCCAGGTAGCCGCGAAAGCCGAGAACGCGGCCCCGATTGCGCACGCATCTCTCCATCCCCATCTCCAACTCCATCTCGAATCGCATCTCCGAGTTCCAGCGTTTTTACCACCTGCCGCACTTGTTTATGGCCGCGACTTGTTGGCGACCAACTTTGGCTTTGGCTACTCGTTTTTTTCTTTTTCTTATTTCTTGCCAAAGCGGAAACATGCGCATCAAAGCAGCAACAGCAAAAAACACGGAGAGAAAACCTCATTAAAATGTGGCAGAAATGTAACAATTTAGAGGTTTAAAATTAGTGATTTTATCTTAAGAGATTTCAAGACCGGAAGTCCTGAAAGCAAGTGCCTAAATTTCTTATCCTTTGCAGCATACTTTTAGTCAGTTTTTTAGGTGAACTTAAACATCTAGAAATTTACAAGTGCTATGCTTTTATAATACAAATCACACCTATAACCTTTTATTTAAATGATTTTAGACTAACTTATTTTTTAATATTATGTAAATTATCAACTTTTGCTCAAAAAAAGTGGGTTATTTATTATTAATCGTTTATGACGTTTTTTTCCATGTGCATGGCAGATTGAAATTGGCAATGTCGTCGTCATCTTTCAGCTCTTTTTCAGCCAGGTCTTTTATTTTTGCCCGAGAAAACTGGTTACGAGGTTGTTGCAACCAGTTTAGCAGTTTTGTATAGTGAATACGTATGTATATATATGGTGTATATATTGCTGTATGTGTGATCGGGGGAAGCCTCTCATCGTCGTTGTCGCGTTTTTGCTTTGTTGTTGTTTTTGTTGTGGTTTTTGGTCTTGCTGGCTTACTAATTGCTGGCTCGAATGTTTATAGAACAATTAACATTTGCGGCTCATTACGCATACGCTGGGGGCGCATGAGCTCAGCCAGCTGAGAAGCGAGGCGATGTGATGCGATGAGATGCGATGCGATTCCATTCGATGGTGATGCGATCATAGCCAGTGGGGCGTATGAGTAATGTCCCTTTAGGGGCTAGGAATGCCGAATACTGGCAGTGAAATGATTCAGCCATTCGCTGTTAGTTGTTTATATTTTTAGAGATGTGTGCTGGATGATTTTTGTTGCCATAAACAAACAGCCAGATTGATTCCAGATGGGAAAAGGGGGTTTCCTGTGAACGTTGGTCAACTAATTGATTCATTTACTATTCGAATCTTAAATTGCATTCTAAGGTATCTATTTTAAATGGCAATCTCCAGTTTTATATCTTGGTTAGGTGACATATATCCACAGACAGAGGAAATGCCACAAAATTGAAGTGTTAGAATCCGAAGATAAAAGTTCGCGGAAAAAATACAATTCAACGAAATTCAGTCGGGGCTCGTGTCATAAAAATTCAATTGGTAGCGACGCAATATTGCAAATCGGCCCACGCTAACGTATAAACGTACATATATATGTACATATACAAACACTTCAAATACAAACACCCCCAATAAACTTTGAGTTTCTCATTCGTCGTTTTCAATTTCAATTTCGTTCGCAACCCACTCCGTGACGTATGAGCCTGTTGATTGCGTAATGTCTACTGCTGCTGCTGCCGCTGCTGCTGCTGCTGCATTTTAATTTGATTTATTTCATCCAAGTTTTTTGGCAGTTCGTTTCACTTGCACTCCAAACGTAGCCGAAAAGAATTTTTCTGCTCGCTTTGTTCTCTGAGCACTACGATAAAGTGCAAAAATAAATAACCAAATACAAATACAAATTAATGAAAAAATAAAAATGCATTTTGAGCATTTTTGTGCCTGCCAATTTTTTTTTTCTGCAGCTGCTGGCACATTTTATTAAAGACAAAAACAGGCAAAGAATATGCTTATGGATATGCACATTGGGCCACAGACAGGCGACTTTGGGCAGCTGTTCAAGTTGGCTCTGTGGATTTGGCGGTGGAGTGTGGAGGTATATATCTGTATGTACGTATCTAGAGTGCGACCCACATGGAAATATATATTTGCCTAACTATGCCAAGAATTTCGTCCATGTGCGTGTGGGCCTTGCACAACCCATACAACCCATAAACATAAAGGGGGTAGCCCCACAATTAAATGGCTTCGACTTCCCAGACCGAGTGAGCAACTGGAGCAGAGTGCTGGAATTCCTGTGAGTCGACTTCGTGGCTTTACTTTACTATCTGCCATTTGGGTCTTATCTCTGTGGACTCGACCACCTCCCCACTGCACTTTCGTCTCCATCTGCTTGAACTTTTTAATTGTTTTATTGTCCAGTAGACAACAAAGTGGGATCAGTAGATATCAGATTTTGTTAGCCTTTAAAGTTGGATTTCAATGTTCATTTTGGGGTAAATTGTATAATAAGAGAACCAACCCTTCTGTTCTATTCGATTTTCTTTATTTGTTTGCAAAGTTTTCCCAAATTTAAATGCAAAATTCTATTATTTAAATCGCAATTTGCTGACTTCCTGGAATCTCTGATTTTTGCACGAAAAGTTCAGGAAATAAATTTGGAATTCCCATGTCGAAATGATTGATTAGCACAAATGCGCTAAATAGGGCCAAGCGGTGATATCAAAAAATAAATCTCTGCTTATATATAAAGAGGGCGTGGGGTGGTCAAGGACATGTGACTATGCAAATGATATTTGCGCAAAAAAAGTGATAAGAGCCAAAAAAGTTGGATGGGATTTCAAAATTCGAGGGGTGGCGCCTATTATTAAAATCAACAGCAGCAATAATTAATTGAAATAAGCCGAATGCAAAATACCTTGACCAATATTTTAAAAACCACAGCATACATTTTGGCGATTAGCTGGATGAATACAAATTGAAGGGGTTCATTATTAAATGAACGTTTTTTCTCCTGAATAAAAATGTACATCTCATAAGATCATTGTTTTCAAGCTGTTTAAACTTTTACCCAAACTCAATATACTTTTTTACCGCGCATTTAAACAACCCAAATCCCATCTACTAATCCGCCTATATCCACACAATCCCATACACAAATACATAGGTACATATAACAATCTAAATATATTCTCGTCTAGTTGAATGAGCGCAAAATGGAATGCCAAAATGCTGACACCGCAATTATCAAAAGTTATTCACTTTTTATGCTTAATTTCCTTTGAATTGCATGCTCTCTCTCGCTCTCTCCCGTTTAAATTCGTTCAATTTCTGCGTTCAACCTGCTGTTCAACAGAAAACAGAGAGGGAATTCCCTGGGTTGAAATTAAAATTTAAAGAGAACTGCTCGCTTCTCTCTTTTGCTCTCGCTAGCTCTTCTTTGAAATAAATATACATATATTCACTCTATTTGTTGTTTTTAGTCACTGACTGTTATTGTTGTTGCTGGCCGATTATCATTAGCTTTCGTTATTGTTTTTGTTGCTCTCGCCTTAATTGCCTGGTATTTGTTTTTGCCGCTGGTTCACAAGCGATAAGATTTCACGGGTGCCTTTCCCGTTACTCGCTTTACCTTTCCAGAAGATACAAATTGGTGGAAATGTGGAGTACAAAATGGGAAAACGACTTGAGTCCAAGAGATTTAAAATGTTTTAGGTTGCTTGCTAATTAGTAAATAATAAAAATAAAATTTTATCCTTAAAGCAAAACTTATTTAATTTTTATTCATTTCCTTGTAAAATTGACCAAGTATGAGATCAAAAAGTGCCGTTTTGGGTTACCTTTT